GCTATTTGGTTGAGACGATTACTAGCAGATTTGAAACAAGTTCAAAAATAGCCCACAGTAATTTATTGTAACAATATGTCTACGATAGCCATGACAAAAAATTCGGTGTTTCATTCGAGAACAAAACACATTGAGTTGCGACATCATTTCATCCGAGATATGGTAAGTAATGGTGAAATCAGCTTGGAATTCATTGGAACGAATGAGCAACCCGCAGACTTTCTAACCAAGGCGATCTATGTCGAGAAATTTCAAAAGGCAAGAGACATTCTCAAAATTGCAAATTACGAGGGAGTGTTGGAAATGTAATTTGCAATTATTATCTAGATTCATGAATTATAATTATACATGCATTTGTCCATTAATGTACTAGAGGAGGAGAAACGTATCCATTCAATGTTGGTTCATGAGTTAGGCTAGATACATGTTAAATCTTATCTATAAATACCCATGTAACTTAAGCCATTAAAAGGATCGAAGTCACAAAAATTTACAATATAATATCTTCTCTTCTACAATCATAAAAAAGTGCAGTAGCACTATATTACGTATAATTTCGAGCATTCGATATTCCTTCTTTTTCATTCGGTTTTTAATCAATCCCCAACAGATAATGTAAATTAATTGGAAAAACTGAGGAAGTTTTGAGATTGTTTTCTGTTTTTTCCACACTGAGAATTTTCACTTATATAGCATAGAGATCCGACATCAAAGAGAGAACAAAATAAATACAAGAAATCAGGAAAAAAACAGAGAATGTTATTTCCATAATTTGCAGAAACACCAGAAATTACCACTTATATAGCAGAATATTCTTTTCTGGTCAGAATTCTTAAATCGAAATTTATGTTCAAACTTGCTGTAAATTCTTTCATCCCTTAACAGCCTTAACTCTGCTAGGAACTGAAGTTGCATTGAGCGCTTATAATTGAGTCAAATGTAAATTGTGAACCTTGGAGGAAAAACTAATTCTTTTTCTAGGTTCTGATACCTTGTCTACAGTTTGAAATGAATGTGATTGACAAAATTCTAAAGGATTAACATAGAATTATATATAACATTTTTTTTCTCTATTGTATTACAAAGGTAGCAACCCTATTTACTGCTTACTAATGAGTGTGAATTTCTTACATAGTTCATAGCTATTTATATGCATTTGCTAGCGATTTTGAGTTTAAGTTCTACATTGATTTTGTTCTATTTTGTGCTTTAGGTCCCATTCCAAGCTACCATTAGACATTCTAGACTTCCAAAGGTGAAAAGAAGACTCGATTCAAATGCATTGAAGAGAGGAGATGCTGAAGCATCCGAAGGAGCAAACCCGTGTTAAGTGGTCGCGAATTTCTTGGATTATGTTGTGTAATATTGCATAGTGAGAGGCGAGATGGGAAAGAAGTTCTGTGATCGAATTTGCATCTTAAGTCGGCAACATTCCAGCATTTTTGTCCCGGTTATTGTTATCATCAACCACTTTTATCCTCTCAATTTATACAACATATTAAAACAACACAAAGTACAAATCAGAAGATTAATTAACTGGCCTGCGACCGGCTTTGCAGCCATATCTATGTGCCTAATGTGGTGTTCTTTCCTGAGTTTCTGCCTATAAATAGTCATGTCATGAAGCCATAATTCTTCCTCAGGCGTAAGGCAGCAAACAAAAATACTACCATGGCTCAGGCTAACAAAACCATGCTCAATTTGGTTCTGGTGCTCAGTCTTGTTCTCACACTATCAATGGCCACGAGCAAACAACTTGTCAGTAAGTATTTGTTGCAATTCAAAAGGAGTAATTCCATTCATAGTTGACTACTGTAGTAGTCATCCTATATGGCTGCTACTAGTTATTTGAAGTATTAGCTTGTCATTTGAAGCAACAAATTAGAGTAAATTAATGCCTCAAATAACAGTCTGTCACATAGGATGACTGATGCAGTCACTAACTATGAATGACATTATTCATCGAAAAATCTTTTCTTATTAAAAACTTCCAAAACATCTCATATATAAGCTTGAATTTTTCTCAAAAAATGCCTAGGAAGTAGGTTGCACAAAACTTTGGAAGGCTAGAGTTTTTGTTTTGAACTTGGAAATTTGAAAGAAAATGGTTTTCAATAACTATTTATATTCTAATAAAACACTTATTTAAATTTGAACCAGGTATTTTCTAAAAAGGGTAAAACCAAAAAGCAAAAAAATGCTTGTAGTATTGTGGCTACATATCGCATTCTTGGTAAAATTGTTGGAATAACTCTATTTTTATTTTTTTTTTATTTTTTTTTTTGTATTCATTCATTTAATTTTTGCTGATGCAGTTGGTTTTGGAAGAACTGATTCCACTCCAGTCTGCAATTCGGTATATGGAGCAGAGAGCGGTGATACTTGTACGAGCGTTGCACAGGAATTTAATTTTTCAGTTGAAGACTTCATCAAGATTAATCCAAACATCAACTGTGAGGCAATCTTCGTCAGTCAATGGCTTTGCCTTGATGGTTCTGCCTAACTAGGGCAGATTATGAAGAACTTAATAAAGGATAATACAATATTGTCCTCCCAAATGTAGTCTCTTTTAGATTACAGATAGTAGCTAATTGTTATGTCTCCCTTTTATGATATTGTCAACTAATAACAAGGTATCATGACCTTCCTATAATCCAGGTTTAAGGCTTTCTTGTGAACAGATGTTCTTTGATGTCATTGTACTCCCTTGGTTCCTAAGCTCTCAGCAAAAGACAATGCACTACGACATTAACATTAATTAAACCATGGTTTTAGAAATTAATGTCCTTACACTTGGAGTATATAAAAAACAGTCTCTAAAAAGTTTACCACTCAATTGAAATTTAATTTAAGTCAAAAAGAAGGGTGAAAATGGTCGCATATTAAATATGACTCAGTTTTCACATTGTTTAATCAACATTTATACATTAATCGGAAGCTCAAACTTCTTCAATATGTGAAAATAACAAGCTAGCTAGCATATGAGAGAATAAGTAAATATATGCTTAAGGTACCAATTTTGATGGAACATGCCCAAACGGGAAAATCCCGTGGCCCCTAACCATGCAATAAAACCACTAGGAAAGTAATAATGCAATTGAATGCTAGGAATTATAAAATAAACACCACTTGTTTCTTAAGGAACACACACAAGAAGTTTTTCCCTTGATTTAAAGTCGAGGTGGTCTAAAAATAAAAACCTAGTTTAGACTTGATTTTTGTGAAACGTAGGATTAGTCCAGATCAAGCTAATTCTAGCATAGAACTTATGGTTTGAAAAATCATATTACTATGGATTATTCTAAGAAACTCTTCTCATACTATAGATTTCAAGTATGAGAATAGAGGAGAAAGGCAAGAAGATGTGAAACCAACTTGAAGCCCTCAATGGATTGTGTATTTTCTTCCCAAAATGTCTAACCCTAATTGTGGATTTATGCCTAACTTTATACATGTCAAGAAGACCAAACCTAGCTGAATTACGTCAGATTTTAGAGTTTAATTTCGTGGGTAGCTAGAAAGAAACCTTAAATGAGAGGGTTAGATATGCACACAAGTAGGTAATCATAGACAATCTTGGTTTCATTATTTGAACCAGTCCTGATACTGTAGGCGTCTACACACATGGAAAGTCTATTCTTCTTTAATCTTTAACTCTCATGTAGTACATAAAGATACAAGAGTAAGAAGAAAATAATAGAACTGAACAATTTTATTTATTACTATTATTATTTAAATAAAATATATAATAGCAAGTTCAAGTGTTAAGACACTGTGCATATAAGGTCTTTAGTTTCAAACAAAATGCAGAGTATTAGAGAGCAAAACACAAGAGAATTTGAAGGGAGAGATACAAAGTTCAGGTTTTCTTGAAAAAGATTCAAGGAGAAGATGGTGCAATTCAAGAATTTTGAAGAGATTCAGAATCAAGGTTTATACTTAATTTTTCTTCTACATATCGTGGGTTAGTTATTCTCAAATTAATTTGTGTTTGTTAGGATAAACTTGTAGTTGTTACGAATATCATGAAATCTTCTCAACTCTTTAATTCAAGATTGATCATTTTTTTACTTCTAATTTGTGTTTGCTGATTATTTGCTAATTAAATGTGCTTGTGAATTATATTGCTTCTAAGAGGTTTCATATAATTTTAGAACTTTTTGGCAAATGACATGAGGTTCTATAGGTGATAGAGATATATCTATGTGTTTTGTCAAATAGTTATGGAAATATCATCGTGATTGAATGCATCTTTATATATTAGAGATAATCCACTACAACAAAAAAAGTGTTATTTTAACATGTAAAAGGCATCAATTAAATGTTGCAAAAATGGTCAATTGCAACATTCTAATAAGTGACTATTGCCGTTGATGTTACTAATTGAGATTTGGCAATATTTTTTAAGTGAATATTGCTAATGTTGCATTTTGCAACATTTAAAGACCCTTTTTGCAATGTTTATTAGACGTTGCGAAATACCATTTTTTGCAAAGTTCGGTAGGTTTCTATTTTGCAACGTTTGACAAACGTTGCGAAAAGTTGTAAACTTTTACAATGTTTAATAAACGTTGCAGGGCCCCTCGGGGCACTTCTCCACTGGCAATGGACGGGCTCTTTCAGTGCTTGCAGATCAGAGGTCGTGAGTTCGATTCATGGGGCTGTTGGAAGGCAATGATTTATTCTTGAAAGGCAAGGATTATTCTTGAAAAGCAAGGCGCAACTTGGATAGACTTGCTAGGCACTTTGGCAGATCAGTTGGGGAGGGCTCGGACCCTAGCTAGTTGGAGGCACATCCCGCGATTAACTGGATTGTGTGAAGAGGGACCGGATCACAGACCCAAGGATTAGTCAAGAATTGGACACCTTGTAAAAATAAAAAAATAAAAAATAAACGTTGCAGGAGGTCAAACATTAAGATGGGCTAGGATTTTGGGTTAAGCCTAATAGTGAGTAGTCCAATAATTCATACACCCATGCCTCGTCCCATGAACCGTTTCTAAATAAACCTACTCCCCAATTCAATTATTGAATTGCACAAATTTCCTTTCAATTTTTCATTCCAATCCTCTCCTGCTCCAAATCACCGTTCGTCGCCTAGCCTTCTTTCGCTCCGTCGCTGGACTTCATTTTCTCGAGTCTCAAACTTCGTGACTCCGTCATTCATTTGTGTTGTTGTGCTATGCCGTGCCGTGCCATGCATCCTTGTTTATTCAACCGTGATAGTTCGAGGCTTCGAGCCTCGAGGTAGACGGTGTCGACGATGCTTTCGACAATCGACAGTAGGCATGAGGCACCGAGCTGTAGCTCTAATTGGTAAAGGTGAAGCCTTGATTTCCATCCCAATTCCTATTATCGATTTTGAAGCTCTTTTTCCCTTATTTTTGGTTGTTTTGATTTGTGTAAATAATAAAAATATTAGGCATCATATACTGGTGAATATTGATTGGACATAAGCTATGAATTTGGCAGCCCTCTGAGAATGTGATGGAACTTGGAAAAGGGAGTATAGCTAGAGTTTTCTAATCCCAGTTCAGATAGCCATTTTTCAAATTACAATGGGTGTTTTCGTTTTAATTCTATTCTATTCAACACAAATGATAGTTATGTGAAATGCAGGATTTGAAAAAGAAGGAGAATGAACTCCAAGCTAAGGAGGCTGAACTGAAAAGAGGGAACAGGTAAACTTATGTTGCATACTCAGAAGCTTTTTAATTTTGTCAAAATAAGATACAGTTATGTTGATTATACCATGTGTTCTACTTGTGTTAGCTCCTAATCTTCTTTTTTTATTTTTTCGTGGATGGCCTCAAAAGGTCAAAACTTTAATTTAATTTTTTGATGAATGTTACAAATCTAGTTCTCATGTTTTCGAACTATTTGTTCATATGTTAATCAGTAATCAATTTTCTGGCGTTTTGTAGGAACAGAAAAGGAGGGAAGGTACTATTGCCTGACGTAATTTTCTGTCTTATACGCCCTTTTACATTTTATGTAGATCTGAGGGTAGAACTTTGTCATTATCTTGTACATGGCACATTATTGATCTTTTAAGTTCTTGTACAACTGGAGTTGTTAAGGAAAAAAACTGGCCACCATATATCACTATTATTCATCATGACATTGCAAATGAAATTCCAATTCAACTATAGAAGCTGCAGTATTTTGCATTCACAACGTTATTGGGTAAGCCATTTTTATTAAGTACCGCATGGTTAAATTATTTTACTGAATCTTTATCTCATATTTGTGAATTGAACTTTAATGATCTTGCAACCAGGTAAGTGTAAGATAATTGAAGGGTACGCAAGTTCATCATACTCTTCTTTTTGTGCTTATGTTAAGTTTGTAGGAAATTTGTCATCTATAGCTTTTGAAACTTTTTGCTTGATCAAAATACCCTTCATCTTTTGTTGTCAAATTGAAAAATCCACTTTCCCATTAAAAATTTCAGCTTTAAAGTGTGAAACATTTTTAAGAAAATAGAACAACCAAATACACAGATAGGTCACACAAAATAATCCTAAGGCTGCAATATACAATGTTCTAGATTCCTAAGGTTTCGTAAGATTCATGATCTTAAATCAAGGAAATGTTTGAATAGGTCAAGTCCATGTGTTCTAACAGAATAATCAATGCAACACGAAGGTATGTAAACAAAAGTTCGAATTTTCACGCAACATAGTCTCACACTGACTATGTAAAAGTTAAAGCACAAAATCAGCTACCAACTCGCAATCAAAACTCAACACTTCAAGTATGGCAAATAACTCCTAAATTTCTAGCATAGGCAATTTTAGCCCATCACGGTATCACAGCCTAATGTCACCCCCACATAAAAACATGCTAATGCTGAAATTTAAACTGAGATAAGCCAATATATCAAAGCGGACCAATCTAAGTCCGTAAATTATGAGAGACACAAATTTATCACTTTAGGAGCACCACTATTCGTTCCAATACCTCTAGCAATTGCAGCAACCTGAAACAGAAAACTAACAATATCAAAATGTCAGAAATAACGTAAGGAACAAATTGCCTAAAGACCTCATCACCAAAAAATGTGAAACACGTCGGGAACACTCAGCGTACCACCACACACGCCGACGATCTGTCTTACTCGCTAGATGTTCAGCATCGCCACCATCTGCACATCACACGAGTGGTCTCCGTCTCCCAAAACTC